GAAAGAAAGAAAGAAAGAAAGAAAGAAAGAAAGAAAGAAAGAAAGAAAGAAAGAAAGAAAGAGAATTTATGACCACAATTGAGCCCAAAATTTTGGTTGCTAAGCAAGAGTGTTGTTAAATAAGTTTCACCACATTTTACAAGTTGGTCACACACGCCCGGTCACATGAACGCCAAGCCACACCTACAAAATAGGCCACACCCACATAATAGGTAGTAAAAAATGTTTAAACCCACCACTGCACTGGTCCAACTGCTTCCCACTTTCCCAGCATCCTTCCTTACACCCCTCAGTCACCAACACTATCCCAGTACAACATACAGTATATCATTGGCTTGTTTAACCCCCCTCCCCCCAAATCTTCCCTTCCCAGCCCCTTCCTTTGCTCGCCATAGCTGCTGATTGAAGCACGACATAGGCTACTGCCTGCCCAAAGAGCCATTTGCCATCATCTTCTCTCAAGCTCAAGCAGTCAGAGCCACTTGTAAATAGCTAAAGTAAGCAACTTTATTGTTTTCTACCTACCGTATTTTTCAGACTATAAGACACATCTTTTTATCTCGCAAAAGGGGGTGAAAATGTCTGTGCGTCTTATAGACCAAATATTGCAGACGCTCCACCCACCCACTGGCCATTCTTTGGCCTCTGCACGCCCTGTTTTCGGGCCTTTTTTCGGGTCGTTTTCAAGGGTTTTTTCAGGCCTTTTTTTGGAATTCGTTGCTTGATTATCTTTTCCAGAATCTTCCCAGGTATTGATGTAAGGCTGATTGGTCTGTAGTTTCCTGGATCATTTTTTCCCCCTTTTTTGAAGGAAAAAAAGCTATTTTCCAGTTCTCTGGCAGTTCCCCAGTGCTCCAGGACTTTTGAAAGATATAGTTCAATGGTTCTGAGATCACATCTGCCAGTTCCTTCAGAACCTTGGGGTGTAATCTGTTCTGGCCCCCCTCCGTCCGGTAATGAATGCAGACACAGGCGTAGCTGTTTGCCACTCTTTATTCACAGCAATTATAATC